ATATAAAAATGTCGAGAGTATAATACTTGATAATTTTAAATTAGCGATTCACTAATCACGGAATTGACATTTCACGCATTCAGATATGATGATATGACAAGTAAGGTAAAGATATCAGCAACTTTAAGATTATCATACAAATATGCAATGATATTTTTATTAAGAAATCTTACTTCTATACGAAATCTATTTGTAAGTACATTAGGTTCCCATAGTATCAGAACCACAAACTATCAATTCAATAGTAGAAATATTACATGTGTCAAAATAAATTCATAATCATGTTCGTTTGCTTCATATGATAAACATTTTTGTGATAATAACAGTAAATAAACTATTTTTTACATGAAAATTAAATATATTGATGAAGCAAAGATTAAACATATCTATTTAACTGACAATATAACGACACCGACACTAATTAAACCTGAGGCATAATCGAGAAGTACAGACAGTGAAATCTATTCCTCGTTTCTGTGCTTCTCGGTTATATCTCGGGTTTTACAGAACCGGAGTACCGCCAGTACCGGGCCGTTTCCCCGAACCGGCTGTCCACGTTCCGCGGAACCGGCGCGGCGGTCGATTCCGACGGGTACTCGCGCGACGTACTACACGTGAGAACGAAAGAAAGAGAGAGAGAGAGGGAGAAGGAGAGGGACTCTTGTTCGCTCACCTCCAACATCCATTCGGCGACTATCTTGCGCATGAGCGGCGAGATGTCCCTCTGCACGCACTCAAAGTATGACCGGCTCGGCGCGTAGCGCTCCTCGGTCTGTAGGAGATTCTGCAGGACCCGGTCGTCGCCCAGGAGAGCAGGATCGGCGTACGCCCGGCACTCGGTCTCTGTCGTCTCGCAGCACAGAAGATCCATGACGGGCGAGAGATCGCACCAACTATAATATAGCTTCTCACTGCTTCTCTCTCCGGCTTCTTCCCCCCGTACTACTGCAGGGTTCCTCGGGACACGTACCGGATGTGTTCCGTCCACGTGCTCCCTCCAAGAATCTCAGAGACTGACGGATCCCCGGATGAGAGAACGAGAGAGGAAGAGAGAGAGAGACAGAAGGGGGACACTCAACACCTTTTTCACAGCGAAACGAGGCAGAGACGGGCTGATCACTCACCTCGCGACGAGTCGCGAAACGTCGATGACGACTGCGCACAACACGCGTGGATGTATGCGCGAGCGTGTTTGCGTGTGCACGGGCCAAAGTCGCAACTGCGACGATGATGTGAGCGAGCGAGCGAAAGAGAGAAAGAGGCGTGTTCGTTCGTTCGTTCGTTCGTTCGATTAGTTTCTCACGTACCTAGACATTTTCTTCACTTTTCCGAAAAGATACTTTCTCTCTCTCTCTCTTTCTTTCTTCGCCGATGAAGAACCGTGGATATTCTTCTTTCCTCCTCGTCGATATTTGCTTTCCACACGTGTTATTCCGCGAATCAAAGCACAAAAAGCGTAATAAATAATACGTTTGCGAAGACGCACGCTGCGCGCTCGGAGGTTCCTTAATAAATAAGCGTAGTGCGTGTTTTTTTTTTTCCAGCCGGTGCCACTTAGAAGTAATTTTGTCGCGCGATTCGCGTTTGTCGAAGTTCGCGGAGCGACTAGTACGTTTCGTTTCCCGAGGGAATCATGAGAAAAGGAGGAGAGAGAGAGAGAGAGAGGGGTGGGCAAGACGCTTCGATCGGCACAGGAGAGAAACGGTGATGTTCTTGTTTTTTCGTTCTGTTCTTTTTACAGACCGACGCGCGAGGAACAAACGGTTTCCCTCTTTCGGAGTGCCGGCCGAGCCCAAGTCGCCAGTCCGTTCGCGTACGATTTAAATGTCCTGCGAGATACGAGGAGCGCGAGAATCCCTCTCCACTTTCTCACGATCCGACACTGGTGACTTATCAGGTCAGAATGCCGGCGAGTTTAGTTGCACAGCTGCCCTGTAGGGCCGTAGCCGACGATTTCTCCCCCACTCGCGCGGCGCCACTGATCACGTGACCCGTACCGGCAATCCCCCCCTCCGCCCCACCAGCGCGGCGCCAGCGTGTCACATGGAACGTAACCGGTAACCGTTCCCCACCACGTTTAGGCCGCCGCCGCGCCGGTGCGGCCGACGGCCGTGGCCGGTGGCGCCGGTTTAGTCGAGAAAGAGCGGTACAGCGGGGAGGATTGGGGGTCTGCATCGTGTAAAGTAGCCCCTCATGTTCGACACCTAAAAGCTTCGACTACACATGCCGAAATTGTATCCGTTTATACGTGGCGTTCAAATATACGTAATAATGGTCTACTAGGAACTTTCCATTTCATTCGTAAATACATCACATGTATTGTTTTATTGGAGATTGTAATAATAACAGTACAACAGTAGTTTAGTTTAATATTTGTTTTGTATGTTAAGTTTTGGTTTCGAATAAAAAATAAAATATTATTAAAATATATCGAATAAAATAAAATAGTATTAAAGTTATATACAATAAAAACTGTATGAAACTTAGAGAGGAAAATATGAAAGAAAAAAAGGATATGTGAAAAAGTGAAAATATAAAGATCAAATCTGAAGTAATAGAAACAATTAAAATTTTTTAGTTGAAAGAGAAAAAGTGTCGTAAAAAGACAGTTTGAAACAATACTTCACGTGTTCTTAGAATACAGCAACCTGTTGCTAACGGTGGCAAACGAGTACCTAGTACTCGGTAATCCAAGTCATAGAATCACTCATATCTTTTATAGAGGTTTTAATTACACAGCTGTAATACTTTTGATACTTTTTCATGAAAAATTGAACAGGCAAAGAAATTCCTCCTTTGTATTAACAGTTCCTCTTAATAAAAACATCTTGACTGTTTTTTCAAGCATTTAAAAAATACTAATATCAAGTGTTTCACGTAGCTATTTTAGAAAATTGTGAAACTGTTTATGTCTCCTGAAAGTCTAGACATGTTAGAATTTTCACAATCGATTTTTAATTAATTCGCGCGAACCGGGCAACATTAGCTCCGGCTTAGAAATATTCACAAAGTTATGCGTTTTCTTCGTGAGAAAGTTAAATATCGTATTTTTAACACTCGCTCGGTTCTATCGGCCTTGGGCCCCGTTTGTACACGACCCAACACTGAACGAACGAAGCAGCTCGGTCGACTTCGGTCCCATTCGCTTTCGTTCGTTCATCCGAGACATCGGAGTTCCTCCACGTTTTGCTCTTCGCCGACGAGCCTCTCCGAGCTCAGCTCTCGGCGAACTTGCTTCTCGTTGTTGTCGTTCTATCGTGAGAACCCGAATTATCAAGGACAAAACTCTCTAAAGATCTCTATAGAAAGCTTATAACAAAATGTTTTTCCTAAAATCGAGGAAATGACATGATGTGACGATATCTAAGTATATTTTTTAGATTGGGGCGACGTTGTGATTTATTAGATCTATTTTTATAGTTAAACTGGTATACACTTTTTGTATTTAGAGCGAAATAGGTATACATTGTTAAATTTATAATGTTAAATTATATATTTAATTTAAACCATTTTTAGTTATTTTTGCACTGAGAAAAATGTTCTAGTTGTAACAAGAAGTACAAGCGGAAGAAATTATGATCACATGAATAAAAATTTTGATTATTGTGGTTGGATTTCTGGTTATCTCAATGACTAGAATGTTTGATAGATTTAATTATAAGTCTGATTTATACCTTTTTTAGTTGAATCTACCAGAAGTCCGATTTAATACAACAAAACTTTTTTCAGTGTATAGATCGCCACTGTTCCTACATTCAATATATCGTTAATTTAACTTTAAAACAATGAAATTGTTGGTGTTAAAAATTGAATTCAAGAAATGTATTAGTTTGACACTCAAATTTATTATACTTTGGCTTTCATTTTCTGTCGGAAGAAAAATTCGCCTAATAAGTAAAATTCCTTTCTCTTCGAATCACTAACATAGAGAAGCTTCGAAGTGGATTGTTTAGACATTCTTATCAGATTTTATAAATAATGAAAAAGTCTCAAGAAAGAGAAAAAGAAGAAAAAGGAGAGAGTAACAAAGATAAAAAAATTTAATTTTTATTTATACGTATCTATTATTAATAAATTTGAAGTTTATTTTTTTTAAGTAAAATGACTGAGTTTTACGCTTTTTTCATGACTTAGTTCTTAACATGTATCCCGTAATTTTGGTATAATAAAATTTAAATTAAATTAAATTAAATTAAAACTTGCATCAAATAAAGTTAATATTAATGATATCATAAATCTGATAATTTTTCTTGTAGTTGATTACAAATATGATACATTAATATTATTATCAAGAAGCGATAGAATTCAAAGTATTTAATGAATCCGGCTGGATGAATAACTTATACGTCATTTTTTACACGTATCGAGCATAAATCTTATTAAAATTCCTTAAACTCCTACTTTTACGTTATTCGCCGATTTGAGAGATTCTTTGAGCGTACGTGAGTAACGTGGACAAGCGAGGGTCGCTTCCGGCGAATAATTCGAAGTGATCGACTGTGAGAGAAGCGAGAACGAAGGTAGAACAGACGGTGAGGGGGTCAGTGGGAGTAGAGCCATGTAGGAGATAAAATGTCCTTGGTGCACGAAACCTCCGTGTGGAGTTTCGCCTCGTTTACGCGTACTACGCTTTTACTACACAATGCGTACGCGACACGATGCGTAGTTACGGGACTACAGTTGGTTGCGACTCCCCGCGACCGGATGTGGCGTGCGTATAAGGGTACTACGTGCATATGATGAACGACGCTTCGCAAGTGCATCGTATGCACGATCGCAGACCGTGATCAAGATGTTGGTAATTACCGCGAGGTGCATAAACTTTCCTGAAAAGTAGTAAGTCGAACACGAACGCACGTATATATGTACGTACATATACTTTTCATTCCGTTACTTTTGACCGCACTAATTATATAGAAAATTGGATTCCGGTGAAATATTAGTTTTCATACATAATGCTTATATATAATGTAGTGAACAAAATGTCATGGACACAAAGCTCAATAATAGATACTTTTTCAGCTAATAAAATACATCAAAGATGCTTTGTGAACACAAATTTTACACCTTTGATGCACCATAGCTTAAAATTATTGAGCCTTGTGTCTACAACATCTTTTCTTCGTTATATTATAAACATTACATGTGAAAACTAACCCATTTCACCGGGACCGAATTTTTTATATAAATAATGAGAGATCCTTTTCTGTGTAACTTATCTAAGAGAAACGATTCACAATAGCGATTCGATATGATTTGATATAATTTATAGTTTTTAAATTAATTTTTAATATTTTAATATATTCACCAGTTAAAAGTAAACACCAATTAAAAGTAATATCAGTGTTATAATTTTACACTCAATAATGTAAGTGTAACACAACATGTTACATAACAATTACATTGTTGAGTGCAAAATTATCTTAATTTATGTTATTTTTAGTTTATTGGATTTCTTTACTTATTACGAAGATTTGTTATCGAAATTGATTATTTTCAATTTTAAAATTGGTCATATGTGGGTTCTGACGTTTATATTTGTTTGTTTTGTTCAACGTAATACATTAATTGCGAGAAATGTAGAACAGAAGACATATATAAAGCATCGAGATAAATTAAATTTGACACAACAGGAAGTTACGCCTAAATTCAGAATGCTGCGACTATATCTATATACATATACATATAATAGTAGATAAGATAATGCCCGAAGAGAATCAAATGACCATAGTTGGATATTGAATATGTACAAATCAAATAAAATATTATTTACATACGTTCATTATGTATCAGCAGCAATTGATCGGTTCGAAAATTTCTGCGGAACAGAACGGAACTGTTGCAGAAATCTGTCGACAGATCGTAAAACTTCACTGAATACACCGGAGT